CCTCACCAGTGCCCCCTTTCCTACAGTGCTGCACGCCCAGAGACGGGCAAAAACCACCCACCTCCAGACCACCGAGTGAGGACTAAAACCATTCTCTGCACGGCTTTCTTGCACCATGCTCAGCATGGCAGCAACATGAGAGACTGATGAGTTTCCACAGATGCCGGCAGCAAGATCAGCCCCAACCCAATCCTCCCGAGTGTGCAGCGGGAGTGACCCCCAGCTGGCCCCATCCACTGCCAGCCTGGCCCTCGGCAGGCACTGGCTCAGCCCTTGCTGGGAGGCCTGGGAGGCTGGGACTCCTGTGCCCAGTAAGGCTGCCATGAGCCAACTTGTGTCTGGAAGTCACCTCCATTTCCAGTCCTTTTATATTCTAACTTTTACAGTTGTCAGAGGCACAGCAGATGAGAATCCCATTACAGTGAGTGTGGGTTTTATTTAGATTCTGTGTCACACAAGAAATGACAGTAAATGATAATAAAGGAGTTGGTTATTTTTAACACCTTTTCATTTCCACCCCTCCCAGCGGCCATTCACAACTACCTGGCCTTGCAAACAGCGTCTACTGGACGGTCAGGGAGAGGCAGGCTGAGGGAAACCTTCCAGGTGGGGCCGGCACCGCGATGCCCCTGCACCCTGTCTGCCTGCACACCTCATCAGGGCCATAAAAACAATGCACCCAGGAAGTGGGCTAGGGAAGCCCCTGGGGCCCCTAGACAAAGCCCAGCACCCCTCCACACGCAGTCTGAGACTCAGGAGAAATGAGCAGCCAGCTCCAAGCTCGGAGCCTGGGGGCCAGGGCCGCCCACAACAAGACTGGGTGCAGGTGTGCGGGCACAGCCGGCCGTGAGCACTGAGAACAGAGCTGCCGAACCCCCTCCTCCTTCCACACACACCGCGTACAATGAGTTCCTCCACCACCGTTAGACACTCAGAATGGAGCCCGGTGCAGCCTCGAGCCCTCACCAAGAACGACCTTGCTGCTCTGGAAAACCTCAAGGGCATCTACCAAGCCCTCGCCCAACCCATCATGGACCACCCACAGCCCTGGCTCTATGCCTCCGGGACAGAATGGCTGTATGCATTCAGCACATATTTTTGATGGAGTCTTAGGGCCGGGAACTATACTGTGTCTCCTAAGAAGTTCTCTATCCATTTCCTAAAAAATAAACTAGTCCATCTAACAGACAGATGAACACTCTGCATTGGCCGCTAATCTCGCAAAGACGGCATCAATTAATGATGACCGCACAGAGCCACAACAATTAATACACCATCAATTGCCTTCACGGAGTTGAGCGTGCCCCTTGTTACGGGCCACACGGGTTTGCAGGAGCACGCCTCATTTCTGAAAGAGCCGGCTAACTAATCAATGGAAGTTGAATCCCACTGACTCGATCAACAGTCTGCCCTCCCAGCAGCTGCTCAAAGACAGGCACGCCACAGTGGTTCCGAAAGCGTGTCTGGAATCCAGGCCCGGGTACGCTGTGCCGGGCCGCTGGAAGCAAAGTTCTCAATATTAACCTGCAAAAGAGGCTTTTGAACAGCACGTTCAAGCCATCGCATGCACTCCCCTGCCACCAAAAGGATTTACCGAGATAGAGTTGAACCTCAAATCCACATTTAAAGCAAAGAGGCACTGGGTTCTCCCTCCCATTCAGAAAGTATTGGGCCGAATGATTTCATTTCCTGGCTTCCTCATGTCCCTTTGGGTCCCAAAGCCCAGACACCTCTCTGCTGCTGTGGCCTGCCCCAGGTGGCCCAGGCTCGCTGCACTCCTTCCTCTTTGAAGTATTTTCCCATTCTTCTGTTTACATTAAGCATCCACAGCAAAGCCTGCTCATCTGTGCTGGAGTGCTGGAGTCCAAGTGACTCAAGACTTCCAGAAAAATATTGTAAAGTCTTTGGAAGAGGGAGGTGGAAAATATTTTTATACTTCTCGCTGTTTCCTTAACTCCGTATTTGGAGGCCAAACATGATGATGGAGATAAAGCACTGGCTTCCCTCTCACGTCTCCGTGACACGTCATCTGCACCCTAAGGAAGTGTCCGGCTCTTCCATCAGCATCCTGGGACTCCCGCCTTCGTCCCCCACGTTAGCTACACTCCATGCATACACAGCACATGCACATGCCAGGCAGTTCAGAAGAAAGGATGGCTCTCCCCTCCCAGAGGAGGGTCAGCACGTCCTAAGGACGACAGGGCAAGATGAGCAGCTACCCAGGCACCAGTGCCAGACCCCACACTGCGACCCTGCTTTCTTCTAGGGCCTGTGGCTGCCCAGCCAGGCCTGGTGTGGTGGGCAGGACCTGTTCTCACAAAGCTTGGATGTATCGAGGCTGCAATTACGGACCACAATTTGCCTCTCTCTCGGTTCACAGCCCTATTCATCTCCGCAAACACTGGAAGACAAAGTGGCCAGAGGGGGATGGATTAGCCACGGGGTGGCCTCTATCTCCACACAAAAGGAGAAGTGTGGAAAAACAGCTCCCTGCGTCCCCCATTCTTCACCCCTGAAAAAAACAGATTCATGGAAATGGCAATTTAAACAGCTCTTTCCCACTCGGGCCCAGACAACAAGTCACAATTGTCCACCCGCCTTCATTGCTCCCTCCCTCCTGCTGGACAGCGGCTACTGGGAGGAGAGTGGCCCCAGGCTGAGCCCATCAGCCAGGAACCAGAGTGCGCCACCCCCTCCCTGCACCTCTCACTGCTGGTTCCCCAGGCCTCCCCTGGGGCTCCTGACGCTAAGGGGCCAAAAAGCCATCTCAGCAAGGACAGGGAGGCTGCCCAAGTCCTGACCTTCCAGACAGACAGGCAGCAGGGCTCAACCCAGGGTGGTGAAGGCCACCGCTTCGGGACAGGGAGAAGGACTTCAGGAGGCCTGGAAGGCTGCACAAACACTCGGACCCTGCAATCGCTCTTCCAAAGGCACCTGTACCCTCCGCGTACAGCTGACCCCATCTGCATCTATGACTGCGCCGTCTTCCACAACACCGACACACGAGTGTCTGCTTCAAGGTAAACACAGAGGTCTCTGTGAATGGCTAAATCCACAAAAAGTACTCCACTCAGCGAACACAACCAGTATTTAATCCTGGGTCTGCTCCACACCTGGACCTTCCCATCTGAGAGACAGAAACTCTTCTTAGCCAAAAAACAGAGTCCTTTAGACCTGGAGCCTCAGGGGGAGAGGAGAGTCCTGGGAGGCACCTGCACTGGGTCAGTGCTGAAGGACGAGGCAGAAAGGAAGCCCCCGTCACAGGCCGGCCACATGGCCGGGAGCTCCCCCCTGTTACTAACTCACAGCTTAAAAGTCCGTGGAACTTTGCTTCGTCACAGAGTACCAGGACACAGCTGGGCACTTAGAGAAACACTGACATTTTCACATGCACCCGCTTTCTGCAAGCCAATCCCCCAGAGACTTCGAGATCAGCCAGAGAGGCAGAGAACTTGCAGCAGGAACACAAACAGGCCGGGCAGAGCAGGGACCCCTTGGCCAGGTGCCTGGAACGCACCAGGGGTGGCTCCCACCGTCCTGGCAGGGGATACCAGCGGAGGACACCCCTCGCGGGCTTGCCTGGACCCAACGACTCCTCAGCAGGAACAATGGCCTCCCCGGCACCAAGGGCCACTGCCCTAGGGCAGAACCACCCACTCCTGAAGTGGGTCAATAAGGCAGCAGGAAGAAGTTGGTCCTCCCACCTCGGGAAGGGTCCCCAAAAGCCCGGGCTGGCAGGCCAAGCGCGCAGCAGAGTCCTGGGGTAGCCTACTCTCCCTTCAGACCTGGTCCTCCTCTGTACTTGGTGCCCACATCCAAAAGCAAGGGAGGGAAGCGGACACCAGGCCCGTGGAGGTCACAGGGTCTGGGGTCAGGCTCCTGTACCTACCTACTTCCCCAAGCTTCCAGGGGCTTATTAATTAGTCAGGGAAGCAGCTGAATGTTGCAAGCCCTTCCTTTGCAGGAGCCCAGAGCTAATGAGAACCCAGCGCGTTACCAGCCACACAGGCGCCCTCCGGAGCTCAGCCTTCCCAGCGGACCAAGGGGAGCACCAGGCGGAGCTGGCCCCGCCTGTGTGCCAGAGCACCAGTAACCATGAGCAGGGGTGCCCCGGGGGAGGCCAATGACTTAGTTGCCCCCGTCTGCTATGACAGGTCAGGCTGATCCCGCCGTGCACCAGGAGCCCTGCAGAGGGAATCTCGCCCCGAAACCAGGAAGTTTCCAGGAGTGCATCTGGGGTGACTGGAGCCGACCGACCGCCCATCAGAGGAGGTGTGGCCCTGCCCCCAAACACCCAGTAAGATGCTTCCCAGTCCAAAGGGCCTCTCTAGCTACCAGGGTCCAACCGTTACCCTGGGCGCCTCAATAGTCCCAGACTGCCCTGCAGTCCAGCAGAGACCAAGAGGGCAGGGGCAGAACTCGGAGCGGGGACCTGCGCACCCGGGTGACCAAGCCCCTGCTTCCCGAGCCTATGGGTCCCTCGAAGGCGGCTTGGGCCCTGGAGAACGGGTGCGCAGGCCGGTGTCCCCGACGCCCGCGGGTCCCAGCCTGGTGCCCACCCTGGCGGGTCCCAGCTCCGCTCCCACCCCAGCCCGGCCGGCCAACGTGGAGCGCTGGTGCCATCTACCGAGGGCCCGCGGCGTGCGGGCGGGCGCCGCTGCCACCGAGCGGTGTGGGGCAGGGGATGGGAACGGCAGCCTCGGCATGGGTCGGGGATCCGGGTCGGCGCGAGAGGAACCGAGGACGCAGCGCGCCCCGATCCCGCGCCTTGCCGGTCAGCCCCGATGGGCGCGGGTCGGCGAGATCCGCGGGGGGCCGGACTCCTGTCAGGGTCGCGCCGCCGGCCGCTCCGGGCCCGCAGTGGCGCTCCACGAGCCTCGGCCGAGCGCGGCGGCAGCGGAACATGCTGGAAGCCGGGTCGGGGGCCGGGGCCGCCGCGAGCCTGGCAGAGCGCGGAGGACTGCGCCGGGGGACCGGTCCGCGCGCCCAGGGACAATTACCTTCTTTGAGGAACTGCGCGTGGATCACCAGGACGAGGAAGCAGCAGAGCGCGGCCCCTGCCAGTGCCCAGAGAGCCTTCAGGAGCTGCATCGCGGAGTCCCAACTCGGCCGACGCCCCCGAAGTCGCGCAGCTGAGGTCCAGGCGCCGCATCAGCGCCCCGCCGGGTGCAGCCTCCGCGGCCGCCCGCTCGCGCCCTCCATCCGCCGCCAACGCCGCGCTCCGCCGCGACTGGAGGCGCCACTCCGGGAGGCGATTTGTGTCTTTTTGGGCAGGGGGGAGGGGAGCGGGCGGGGGGGAGGGGGGCGCCGGGGAGGGGGCGGGCGGGGGCGGGGAGGTTAGCAGAAAGTCTCCGGCCGCGGCGGCCGCCGCTCCGACCACTCGGCCACCATCGCTGGCTGCGGGGCGCCGGGGGCCCGGGCGCGGGGGGGCGGCCGCCGCGGCCCCATGAATCAGCCCCGCCGCCGCCCCCGGAGCCGCACCGCCGCCAGCAGGGCCCGGACGGCGGGCCGCGGATTGCGCAACGGCCGGGCGGCGCGGGGGGCTCTCGGAGCCACCGCCGCCAGCAGGGCCCGGACGGCGGTTGCGGATTGCGCAACGGCCGGGCGCGGCGCGGGGTCCGGCGCGGCCCCGGCCCTCCTCCGCTCTGTCGCCCCCCCACTGCCCGCTGCTCGGTGTCGATTTCTTCCTCCTCCTCCTCTTCCTTCTCCTCCTCCTTCTTCCTCCTCCTCCTCCGCCGCCGCCGCTCTCCGCTGCCCGCGCTCAAGCCCGGCCTGGGGCTCAGGGGCCGCGCCGCTCGCGCCACCGCCGTCGCGCGGGCCAGGCTCGCCGGCTGCGCGCCGGGCGCGGGGCTGCCGACGCCGCGCCGGCTCCTGCCCGGCCGAGCCTGGCGTGCGATCGAACTCATGGCGCTGCCCGGCTGGCGGGCCGGTCCCCCGGACGCTGCCTCCGCGCCTCCCAGCAGCTCGCCCGCCGCCGGCCGGGACGAGGTCCGGGCTCCGCGCGCCTGGGCTGCCCGCTCTGGGCCGCCGCTGCCCGTGCCGGTGCCGGTGGCTGCCGCGCCTACAGGTGGGGCCGGCGACGCTGCGCGCCTCGCCGCCCGCGGGACGCTGCTGTTCCGGCCTGGACGCGCGCGCCCGCCCGCTCGGCTCGGCACCGGCTCCTCGGGGGAGGCGGCGGGAGGGGGAGCGCGGCGCAGTCGCTGCCAGCCCAGGTGGCCGGGCCCGCGCAGCCTCGGACTCTGGCCCGCGCCCGCCGCCGTCTGCGCTCCTCCCGGCCGCGGAGCCGCCGATGCGCACTGGGCCGCGAGGGACCCCGGGGACCCCGCCCTGCAGCGCCCCCGCCTGGCGCGCCGGCGGGTCAGGTGGGGCCGGCCCAGCCGAAAACTGCGGGTCGGGCTCCACCTAGGTGCGCAGGGGCCTCACTGCAGAGCCGGCCCTGCTGGCGCGGGAGAAAGGACGCGGGGCCTCGAGTTGCGCCCAGCCTCCCTGGCACCCAAGGCCCCGGGAGAGACAGGGAAACCCGGGCCCAGGTACCGCCCCAGTCGGGCCCGACCAGCGGCTGGGAGGGCTCGGAGGAGGCTGATCCCGCGGCTTCTGAAAACGGCACATCTGCCTGGAAACACACACACACACACACACACACACACACCTGCCCCTACTGTGTGCCGCCCTCCAGCCAGCTGCCCTGCACCCAAGAGTGTGGGCGCACAGTTAATGCCCTCGTTCCATTCCGTTCCAGGGGAAACAAACGGACGCCTCCCTGCACTGCCTCCCTTTCCGCCTCTAGGAAGAAGGGGTCTTTGTTTTGGGCCGCTTTTGCTCCCCAACCCCGCACCACAGAGCAGGGGGCACGGGTGTCCTCGTCAGGGGGTCGGACCAGAGCCCAGCACCAAGACCAGTGTGGTCGGCCTCAAGGTAGTTTTGCCAGAATTGAATTTGAAATTCAATTTCAAATGCCCAGGAAAGAGCAGCGGGCAAGAATCAGGGCCTAAGCTTCCTAGGACCCTGAACCTCTGTCCTGGCCTGTGCGGGGTGGGGGCAGTGCTGGTGCCTGCGGTGCATGTGGTTCACATGAAGGCTGTCTCCTTGCACCAGTATTGATGTAGCAGGAAGGGAAAGAGGCCTGGTCCTGAAGGGCTCTTGGAGGTCAGATAGATCAAGCCCATCAGTATGCATCTGGGGAAACTGAGGCTTATAGAGGCCTGGTGACTGGTCTCACATCAACCAGAAAGTCAAGGGCAGAGTCAGGACCAGCCACCAAGCTTGATGCTGTCTGCCTGACGTGGCTCTGTGGTGCCAAGCACCTGGCCAGGAAAGAGCCCATCCACAAAGCAGTTCTTCACCTCTGGCTCATCACCCTCCACCTGCCCCCGAAAACATCCAGGAGAGACAAGAATGCCCCATCCGACTCCTCTCACCTAAAGGAGTGGCCCCAGCCTCACACCAGCCAAGCAACTGAGCAGCTCTGGATCTGCCCTGGGAGGGACTAGCCATTCTCTCTGCTCATGCAATCCCCTTCAAAACCCCATTTCCTATAAGCACCCCACTCTTTCCTGCTCGCCACCCCTAGACATTCTCTAGAAAAGCTCTAAGGCAGCAGTTCTTCAGGAACCCACCCTGCCTGGCTGGCAGAGCCTGACCTCCACCAAGGTCGTTGGCCTTCATCCCTCACCTGGCACAGGGCTCCCCAGAGGGCTCAGGGGGCTTCTGCGTGCGTATCACATGTGCTAACCCCTGGCCCCCAAAGGGACCTCAATCAGGAGAGAGAGCCTGCCCTTGACACGCACTGTGTCCCCAATCAGGTGCATATTATTTGAAATTCTGAAAATAGAAAGGTATGCTACATTCACCAGGGGAATCTTTAAGAACTACATTTGGAAGATCCTTCTGTAAAGAGAAGTAACGAGGACAAAAGAAAAAAAAAATAGTTTATCAGTAGAGGCATGGCCCACCAATTCACTTTCAACAGGTAGGACAGGAGGACCTCCGTGCCTAACGTTAGGGGACCACCATCACACTTCTGCGGGTACCAAGGCTTCCTGCTAGTAAACGCATGTGGTATTGCTTACACCTTTAAAAGCAATCACAGCTGCAAACTCAAGAACCTCGTGCAGGGCTTCCGAAGAGTGAGTTAACAGTGCAGACCAAAAAGGCCTTGGGTGCCATTGGCAAGTCAGCTCCAGATGGCAGTGTGAACACCTGAGCCAGATAAAACTAACACACATCTCAGGAGGAGACACCAAGGGTCTTACTGACATGGCAGGAAAGACCGTTTACAAATACCGAAACCATTACTGTGTTGAGAATGAAAACATTAAGCAAGCCAGAAAGGGTGAGGGGGTCCTGGGTCCAGTCTCTGGATAGAAGAGAAGAAACTGTGATGGGAACCAACAGAAGGATGCCCACATCCTCCCGAGAAGGTGGAACGAACCAGGGGCATGGCCAGGTGTCCAGGCAGGAGGGCACTTGGCCAAAGAGCTGCAATTCCACAGTGCCAGGTGGGTGTGTGTTGCCCCAAGCCCCTGCAAACTGCTTCTTTAAGGCTAGTGTAGCTCAGACCAGAGCCAGAGGAAAGCTGTCCACAGAGGGATTGCCTTCTGCCTGGGGACAGTCCCCACAGTGCCTGAGGTCAGACCCCACAGTGTCTGAGGTGTGGGACTTTGGATGGAGAAAGTGAGCATTTTCTTTAACATATCTCTAACTGAAATTCAACACTGCCTTCAATTAGGCATGTAGGCAGTAAACACAATACTTTAGCCATAACTATGACTTTGTCACCAACAAAAATCACAGGTATTTTCATATCACATTACAGCTCTTGCAGATATCTCAATCTATTGCTTATTTTCACCATTACTTCAAATCATGGTCATCCCACTACTAGACTTTGTATGTAATGTTTTCCTAAAGAAAACACATTACTATATCAAAATAGGCTTTTCACCATTTGCTAACTGCATGTGGATATAATTGAACTTCTTCATCAGGTAGTTTTAGTTTGTCCTGAGATGGGTAGCACAGGCTTCACCAGACTTCCAAACAGGCCTATGGCACACAAGAAAGCCAGGAACCTGCTTCTGGAGTGAAAAACTCAGGGTCTAAGAAAAAACCAGGGCAGAGCAGAGTTAAGGACTTTGGTCATTCATGAGAAGCAGGGTCAGCAGGTCCAAAGGTAGCACAGTTCCTCCCAAGAGTGAAATGCACAAAAACACCTGTCCACAGGGTCAAGCCTGCCAGCACCAGCAAATGTGGGGACCCTATTTGCCCATCGGCTGCATGCCCACTTCCAGGGTGGCCCATCTGTCCACGCACCTTGCCAGTTCCAAGGGAATACAGTAAACTCTCGTGGTCAAGTGAGAAGCCTGTTGGGCTACACAGGGCAGAGGTGATTCACACTGACCAGTCACTACACACACCTCAACCTTATTCCTATACAGACAGGACCTAGCAGGCAGACATCACTAGGTGTTTGCAGAAAGCTAGAGGCATGAAGGAGAAGGCAGGCTCAGCTATGCATACTCTACACGTGAACCTTAGGGGACAGAAATAATTCAGGGAAAATAATCATAACCGTAATTGTGATTATTCTAAATAGCATCATTCTCAAAAAATTTGAAAGAACATGGTATCAATAAGAGAAAACCAGACTCCCGGGGGAAAAAAAGGCAAAAAGCAAGAAAAAGACTGTTTGAAATTAATGTGACTGGCTCATTTTAAGATCTAGGGTATACACTGAATGGTAAAATGGGAATGAATGAAGACTGGGCTGTGGAAACGAAAATCAAATATGTTTACAAGAGTGGAGAGCACACAGAAAGGTGAAAAATTATGGAAAATTTGAGACCTAGAAGGTATATCCTAGGCATCCAACTTTCATTTATTAGAAGTTCTAAAGGAGAATAAAAGGCAACAAAGAGGAGGAAATAGTCAAATAAATAACTACACATCTTCAGATTGTAGAGACTTATCATATTCTGATTAGATCTAATGGACAGACACCTAGAGCCGACCAATGCAAGAAAACCTTGCATAATTGTTTTTAAAAAAGCAAAACAAACAAACAAAGAAACAGGCTAGGCACAGTGGCTCATGCCTGTAATCCCAGCACTTTGGGAGGCCAAGGCAGACAGATCACGAGGTCAGGAGATTGTGATCATCCTGGCCAACATGGTGAAACCCTGTCTCTACTAAAAAGACAAAAATTACCTGGATGTGGTTGTGGGTGCCTGTAATCCCAGGTACTCCAGATGCTGAGGCAGGAGAATCTCTTGAACCCAGGAGGCAGAGGT